TTGCAAGACAGTGATTTTTTCCCAATTGGAACACATTAAGTAGATTTCAGTGCATTCCAATGGGGAACTGGGTTTCACAAGACGATGTTTTCGCAAGACAGCGATTTCCATGGAACGAATTAAAATCGTCTTGTGAGGCACCACTGTATTTTAATCTGTGCAGAATTTTGTCTTTAGCTGTGCTCTCACTGTAGCTACCTTTCAGTATTACATTTGCCTTCTTAGGTAAATTATTTCCTTTTTTCCATCTCCCCTTTTTATACTGCTCACATTTTGGGAGTCACTCTTAACATGATGGAGGCTTCATAGCTGCATACGACTCATTTCTCCATGATATTATACCCCGGTAGTAGCCACAACCAGGTGGTTGCTTCCTTTTTCTGCATATGTCAGTGACACAAATTCACATCAATGGAATATGCCTCCCATTTTGCTAGGGATGAAGGTATTATGAGGAAGACTTCAGTCTGATTTTGGTCAGAAAGGAAGTAATGATATAAGGAGGGGTAATTATAAGGATACCGTTCCATTATAGGCAGCATTTTTCATTGGGGGATGTGTGTGATGGTCTCATGGTGTAATTAATATAGTTTGATTTCCTGGAGTTGTCAAGTAAATAGCAACAGTATTTTGCTGAATCAGTTGAGAGCTTGCTATGTATGGGAAATCTGGTCTGTGACAAGCCTATTTTTAGTTTCAGGTAAAACTTGTTTATATGTTTTTACATAGAAAATTGTACTGTTTGCTACTATGACAACATCAGTGAAATGCTAAACATACAACGCAAAGCTTCAGATTTGCAGCAGTATCACCTGCTTCCCCAAAATACTATAGCAGTATCTGGAAGTTGAGTCATGGCAACTGGACTTCTTTCTTGTTAAGTTGAAACATTTTGCTGCTCATCCAGTCTGAGGAGAGTTGGTAGGAGATCCCTGATATATCCTCCACGTTAGTTTCACTTCCCCCTGGTCTAAAAAGGCTCCTTAGAAGGGCAAAGGACTGGAGGTGAAGGGTAATCCTACTTCTGCAATCCTTCTCCACCCGTCGTCATGGGTCAGTAACTGTTGTTGACAGTGGTCTTTCTGGTGTGTGTGATCCTAATATTTCTGGGGACAGATGAAATAGTAGTATGATAAATAGGAGACAGATTGTATCTAAGGCCTCCGCCCCTGCTGAGAGATTTTCTATATTCCAATGTACAGCCTCCCTGACCACTCTCTCAAACCATTATGGACAACCCCTTAGTGCAGATCAAGATTCAGGAAGTACAGGCCTTCACAGACCACATAAACGGAGTGGACTCAAATATTAAGTTCACCATGTAAGACACCAAAGACCGCTTGCTGGCTTTCCTGGACTGTGCAGTCATCATAGGATCCAATGGCAGCTTAGTAATAGAAATCTACAGGAAACCCCCCCACACACACACACACACTGATCAATACTTGTGATTTGACTTGCATTGCCCATTGCAACACAAACTAAGGTGCTAAACCACAGAGAAAGAAACATCCCACTGCCACAGAAGCCAAGAAGAAGGAAGATGGACATCTGAGGACAGGCCTGTGGGTATCTAAAATGGGCCTTTAACAAGGCAATGTCCTGACCCAGGAGGACAGTGGAAGAACTTGGTCATTCCTTACATGGTGCGTGTGTCTCAAAAGCTTAAAAGGATTTTTGGTAAACACCACATACCTGTGCACTTCAAACCCACAAAGACACTCATTCACCCAAAAGGCCGGACACCAAAACACTCCGGAGCAATATAGTATATGCGGTCCAATGCAAAGAGGAGTGTTCAGAGCTCTACAGTGGAGAAAACAAACAGCAACTAAATAGAAGAATGGCCCAACACAGGAGGTACAGTGGGTCAGGACTGCAATCAGCAGTGTTCCTTCATTTGAAGGACAAAGGAAAATCATTTGATGACTCACTTTGGACCGAGAAGATAGGTAGTATGAGAGAGGGGTCAGGGAGGCCATACATGTGCATATAGAAAATCCCTCACTCAACAGAAAGATTAAGGAAAACACACACCAGAAAAACCACTGTCAGCGACCATTAAGGACCCATGACAGTGGGTAGAGAAGGACTGCAGGATTATCCTTCACCTCCAGTCCTTTGCCCTTCTAAGGAGCCTTTTCAGACCGGGGGAAGTGAAACTAATGTGGAGGATAGACCAGGGATCTCCTACCAACTCTCCTCAGACTGAAGAAGCTACTTGGATGAGCAGCAAAATGTTTCAACCTAACAAGAAAGAAGTCCAGTTGCCATGACTCAACTTCCAGATACTGCTATAGTATTTTGGGGAAGCAGGTGATACTGGTGCAAATATGAAGCTTTGTGTGATATGTTTAGCATTTCACTGATGTTGTCATAGTAGCAAACAGTGCATTTTTCTATGTAGAAACATATAAACAAGTTTTACCATGACTCAACTTCCAGGTAACCACACTGGGATGACTGAGAATCTTCACAGATGCACACCACATGAGCTTTCTCAGATTTTAAGATATTCTGGGGAAGCCCTTCTCTTGGTTCCCCAACCTTTCCAAGTGTGCTTGGTGAGGACATGAGAGAGGTCCTTCACAGTGGCTGCTCTCAGTCTTTAGATTGCACTGCCCTGAGAGGCCAGGTTGTCCCCTTCCGTCATCAGGCAAAGACTTTCCTCTTCAGACAGGCCTTAAGCAGCAAATTATCTCAGGAATGCTGATTTTTAACTTACAAGTTTTAACTGTTTTTACTTGATTGTTTTATTCTTAATGTATTTTAATTGTTTTTTTAATTTTGATATTTATGTAATGTTTTGAAATTTTTTATTTTACCTGTTGAAAGCCAACTCTGTTCCTTACGGGGAGAAGGGCACTGACTGACTGACTGACTGACTGACTGACTGACTGACTGACTGACTGACTGACTGACTGACTGACTGACTGACTGACTGACTGGTTTTATTCTTAATGTATTTTTAATTGTTTTTTAATTTTGATATTTATGTAATGTTTTGAAATTTTTTATTTTACCTGTTGAGAGCCAACTCTGTTCCTTATGGGGAGAAGGGCACCCACTGACTGACTGACTGACTGACTAAATGAATAAAGGGTGCGGGTTTGGTGTGGTGTGAAATCATGTAGAGACTTGCCTTGGAGACTACTATAAAAATGATAACACAAAGTGTTTCTTGAAAATAGGAGCAATGCTAAGCAGCAGCATTAAAGCAAGAAATAGGACGATACTGTACTGTGAACAAAGTGGTGCCTCCAGTGCTTAATTTTCTAGCACAAAAATACGGTATAACTTTTAACAGAGTAGAAAATGTAGCAGAATTAGCAGGAGATATACTATTTTGATACCTTAATTACTCTGAATACCTGTATTGAATTTTATGTAGGAGAAAAGCTTTTGTTTTATCACACACTCACTAAATATTGTATGTTTTTGATTGTCATTTGAGTTAGCTGTTGAGTGTGGGGAAAATAATTACATGGAATAATTACATAATGTGTCTTTTTAGGATGTCCCCAAATCAGGTACTAGTTGCAGTTCACGATGTTCAAGTTCCAGACAGGATTCTGAGAGCACAAGGCCAGAATCTGAGACAGAAGACATATTGTGGGAAGATCTTTTGCACTGTGCAGAGTGCCGCTCATCATGTACCAGTGAGACAGATGTGGAGAACTCTCAGGTTAATTCATGTATGAAGAAAGAATATAGAGATGATCCATTTCATCAGGTTAGTGCAAAAAATAACATTATTATGTCTATCTTATAAAATTCAATAATTAGAATTGTGACAGAAAAATGGTAGATGAAATGAAATATAGTTACTTGTAGATATGCATTTTTATAACATTTAACATATTTTTGTAATGATAGGTCAGGGTTTCGTTTATAAGACACTCTATCATCACAATACAATATTAATTTATTTGGTTTTGCAGAGTCATTTACCCTGGTTTCATAGTTCCAATCCCGGGCTAGAAAAAGTAAGTGCAATTGTTTGGGAAGGTAATGACTGCAAAAAGGCTGATATGTCAGTGCTTGAGATCAGTGGCATGATAATGAACAGGGTGAGTATTTTAAATTCGCTTTTATTTGTATTTTTATGCATGCTTTATCCCAGGTTGAAGACTGCAGTATAGAAATATGTCTGCATCTTGTTGCACTGCTTTGGTTTGTTTATTTGATCAACCATGTCAAGAATGTGCCTTGTTTGCTCTATGTTGTTACGTAGAGCAGTTGACCAGAACTAGTTGTCCTTTTGAAAAATATCAAACACCCCCAAGTATTGTTTCTATTAATTGGAATTACAAAATATAAGTTAATTTGTTCTCATGTGAGTCACAGTGACATACAGTACATGGGTGGTAAAGGCTGACATTAGAAAAAGTCTAGTGTGAACAGTTTCAATAATATTTTCTTACTTGTGGAAAGAGGAGAAGGAATGCCTGATTTTGTTGATTACCATGTTCAGCTGTAGTTTTGTACAAACTTTCACTGACTACCAGGATTTATTTTCAGAGAGGAACAGTGCTTACAGTGGGAAAGAAGAAGCAAGAAATCTCTTTTGAGTTTTTTTTAGAATTCAGACTTAATTTCACACTCAGACACTTCATAAACTAGATGCAATGGTTTTTGAAATTTTCTAAACTAGATGTTCAGAAAATGTTTTGTCCGCTTTTGTTCTGTGCATTATTGATGGGTGCCACCTGTTTTTATAGTTATTTATAGTTATTTGCTAATTTGTTCTCACTGTCTTTAGTCTTTCATTTTTATCTCTCTCTGATGTTTTATCTATTTTAAACCACACTAAGTAGTATCTTGGTACTAATGGAAGCTAAATAAACTAAACTGAAATGAAATGAAATCAGAATGATTTTTGCTCTCATTTTGACTTCTAGGACCTATTTTAGTAAATATTTTTTTCAATGTTATTCCTTCTAGGTATATTTTGAAAACAGCCATTAGTGCCCATCAATATTAAACCTGATTTGTTACTTTGCATTATATTATAGTGTCATTGTTCATATTTTCTTTTTATATCTTTAGGTTAACAGCTATGTACCAGGAATAGGTTATCAGATTTTTGGAAATGTTGTGTCTGTAATCCTGGGTTTAACACCATTTGTATTTCGGCTTTCTCAAGCTAAGGATCTGGAGCACTTAGCCACCCACTCTGCTACTGAACTCTATAGTATTGCATTTGGGTCAAATGGAGACATAATGGTTATTGCCATGGTTACAGTATGCTTCATTGTTCGTGTTTCCCTTGTATGGATTTTCTTCTTCCTGCTATGTGTGGCAGAGAGAACATACAAGCAGGTAGGTAATACCAACAAATGCCTCATATTCTTTCACTTGAGAAAAGTCATAGCAATATAAAATTTTTGACAAAAATATTTTTCTATTGCAATACTGTTTGAAGTACTGTTGGTTTTGATATGTGTTAGATTTTATTATTTGTTATAAATGTATACATTTAGCCTTTTATTTCTTATAAAGGTATACATTCAGACCTTTTTACAAAATAGTTTGCAACATAATAAAACAAAATGCAATTCATTAAAATATATAACATCCAATTGATTGAGATCATATTTTTACCATTTATTAATTAGTGTATGCAGTGATTTTTCTCTTCTCAATAAAAGTAGCCCAGCATGATGAACACATCTTGGCTAAGCTGTATTTCTGCACAGCTATTTAAAACCATTTTTTTCTTGCAGAGGTTGCTCTTTGCAAAACTCTTTGGCCATTTAACATCAGCAAGAAGAGCACGAAAATCAGAAGTTCCTCACTTCCGATTAAAGAAGGTGCAGAATATTAAAATGTGGCTTTCCCTGCGCTCCTATCTGAAGGTTTGTTGGCCTTTACTTTTCTCTTCTTTTTTCTTTTCTTTACAGAAAAGACAGCGAAGTTCAATGAGCCTCCAGGTAAGTTAGTACAGTATAGCACTTCAGCTGTCTAGTTTCAATACTCTAGTAATATTACCTGTTGAATATTACTCTCTGGATCTTTCTTTTCTTCTTCTGCAAATAATAGCCCTGTAGGTCTTGCTGAGATGGAGAAACCAACAGCTGAAATGTATTTTCAATCTTTATTTTAACAGGTTACTTTTTAGGAAGTTGATTTTCACATAACTTCTTGCATATTTCTGGTAGTGCCAATGGAATTTATTTGATTTAGTTCATTATTACCTTTTATCTTAAGTGAGGTTTTTCTGGTAGACTAACATTTTGCAGAAATGTAAAACCTATACAGTCGTGCCTCACTTTACAATTGCCCCGCATTACGACGAAACTGCATTACGACGATCTTTTTGCGATCAGAATTGTGATCACAAAACAATAGTCTGAATAGGGGTTTTTTGCTTTGCGATGATTGGTTCCCTGCTTCGGGAACCGATTCTTCGCAAAAACGACGATTTTCGGACAGCTGATCGGCGGTTTCAAAATGGCTGCCGGGTAAATAAAATGGCTCCCCACTGTTTTCTGGGATGGATTCCTCGCTGCACAGGTACCAAAAATGGCCGACCTATGGAGGATCTTCACTAGACTGTGAGTTTCCAGCCCATTGAAATGCATTGAAGGGGTTTCAATGCGTTTCAATGGGCTTTTTATTTTCGCATTACGATGTTTTTGTTCTACAGCGATTTCGCTGGAATGAATTAACGTCATAATGCGAGGTACCACTGTATATAGATAAGAAGCCCCTCCTGTTGTTTTTGTGTGTCATCAAGTTGAAACCAACTTATAGGTATCCTAAAAGGGCTTCCAGAGTAAGTGAGAGATTAAATGAGTTGATTTATCAGTTCCACAAGCCCAATGAGCTTCCATGGCTGAGTGGAAATTCAAATCCAGGCCTCCTGAGCCCTATTCCATCACTGCACTAGGTATCCAAGGAGTCTCTATGTGCTGTTTTTCTGGGGGATTGAGGTCCTTCTCTTTCTTTCCTAAATCAACTAAGACTGCAGTTTTGGAGCCCTATACCATCACTGCACTAGGTATCCTAGGAGTCTCTTTGTGCTATTTTTCTGGGGGAATGAAGTTCTTCTCTTTCTTTCCTAAATCAACTAAGACTGCACTTTTGACCTCACTTGATGTACTGTTTAATCTTGCATTCAAGCAGTATATTGGTGTTAATTCATCATAGCAAGACATTTGGATGTTGTCCATTTGTGAATTGCCTCATGTAATGTCCAGTTACACATGCCTTCTGGGATGAGGACAACTATCTGCATTGCTGATAAACCACGATTTTCGGACAGCTGATCGGCGGTTTCAGAATGGCCGCCGGGTAAATAAAATGGCTCCCCGCTGTTTTCTGGGATGGATTCCTCGCTGCACAGGCACCAAAATTCACACCTTCTCTTTTGGGTCTGTGGAAAATTCTGTGCAGCATTAGCCAATATGTTGTTATTGGAAAAACTTGCAATCCAGCAGAGGGAGCTCAAGTTTAAAAGGAAAAAGGATCTTAAAATAGCAGTAATGAAATGTGAAATTGATGAATCCTTCCATTTCAGGTTAGCAAAGCCATTTATTTTGCCACAGTGAAAGCTCAAAATACTAGATCAGCGTTTGATTCAGTTTCTTAAAGATCCAGCATAGCATTCTCACCCTCTAATGTTTTGGTACATATGCAGGATATATAGTATTTATAAGCAATAGTATTTATTGATTTATAGTATCTCCTAAGGTATTCTGATTAATTTATCCAGAGAATCACTCAATACTTACTTTTATTTTTATTTTATTTTATTTTCAGCGTCGAGGTCCTCAGCGATCAGTCGATGTAATTGTCTCATCTGCTTTTTTGTTGACCATTTCAGTTGTCTTTATCTGCTGTGCACAGGTAACGAATGACTGACAAAACAGTTTACTTCATTTTAAAACCATGCAGGGAAAAAACTTAGCCAGGAAATGTGCACGTGCCCACTCCTGCATCAGTAGCAGAATTCTGAATTCTATAATCACGGAGCAAGAGCAGATGCAATGGTAAAGTTTATCTGTCTCAATCCCAGAATGCCCCCTCTGCTTTGCCTGATCTTAGGCTTGACAACCCCTCCCCAATGTGGTCAGATACATAAATGGAGAATTACATAAGGCAAGAAAGGAAATAATGTATATTGCCACTCAGACTAAATTGTTCTGTTGCTTCCATAACTAAGGGTGTGTAACTACTTTGGGAATTGGTGTTCATTGGGTACCCTGTTGATAAATATCTCAGAACCTTCACAAAATTAAGTTAAAACAATTGTTCACATTCATCTCAGTTTTATCTTTAGTTTACTGTGATAAATAGTGCAGCAACAGAATCAGAAATGAGATCTGTCAAAGAGCAATTTGATAATTTTGGAGTGTACCTCAGTACAAGCATTTAAATTCTTAGATAATCTGATCTGTTAAAATGTATCTGCATCTTTGGCTAAATTAAATCTATGTAAAGGCTTCCTACTTTCTGGAATATCAACTTTTCAGTTTTCGTTTCCTTTTAAATTTGTTTTCTTTCAGTTGCTTCATGTACACGAGATCTTCCTTGATTGCCATTATAATTGGGAACTTGTGATATGGTGCATTTCTTTAACTTTGTTTCTTTTGAGATTTGTTACACTTGGATCTGAAACAAGTAAAAAATACAGTAATACCTCAATACTACTTACAGAACAGGTGAGAAGTCTTCTAGTAAGAATGATGATTACATCTAGATATTTCATTCTGTATCCATTCAAGAATAGCTACTAAAAATATTCCTTGGTAATATAGCAAGAATGTACTGGAGTTTTAAAATTACCAATTATTATTTAATCAACTGGAGAATTCAACTAAGGTAGTCAGAGGTTTATATAAATAATAATTTTATTATCCTACATACTTAGCACATAAAACTGGCAGATTTAATCCTTCATATTATTTCACTGAGGAACATTAAAGGTTTAGAAACATCTAGGTTTTTGAATATTGCTTGGACACTGTTGCTTGAAGGTGTAAAGACAGAAGTCTTCTTTTCAAGCAGAGAAACTCTATTATCTGAGTATACAGTTTTCTCAAGATATACCAACCTCAAAAGAGCTATGTAGTGCAATCATAATGTGTAGATTTTTTAAAAAGAAAACAAATGGGAACCATACAAATCTCATTCTGAGATTAGGCAGAGAATTATATTTGAATATTTGCTGCCCAAGAAGAGATTTATTTTTGTTTGTACCTGATAATTTAATTTACCGGGTATGATTTTTTTGTGGAATTTACAAGGTAAACTACACATTATATTTATTCAAACTATATAACTATCCATTCAAAAACAAATGTATATTTTCTAGTTTATATTTATGTTTTTTCTGGATGCATAGATACTTCTAACCATTCCAAATACCAATTATTCGTACCAATACCCTAAGTATTTATTATTATTCTGTGCTTTTTTACAATATTCATTACAATATTTGCAGCACAGCATTGCTATTTAGCTTTGATATTCATAATCTTTATGCCTCAGATGAAGCAGTTCTGTTTTGTAAATACCAAAGCATTCATTAGACAACCTCAAGCAAATATTAAAATCATATAGTTGTGCCTTTGATTATTGATAATTATATCCTAATGTTAGACACATTAAAACAAATGTAGACTCAAAGTCAGTACCTACTGCTCTGTTCACTGAGGTTTCTTCTACTTTGTCTTGGTTTTGTGCAAGGTATTAGACTCTTCATAAAGTAATAATGGTGAATATCTTTGCACAGCAAGTATGATGTCACTAGCAGTGTTAGATTGCCACTAATTAAAGAATCATTTTTTTTCATTTTGCAGTGATCATGACTTTATTTCATTGTGTATGAGTTACACACATACATTGTGTATGATCTGATATCAAGGCAGTTGAAAAAAGAGGAAGACCAAATATGAGGTGGATTGATTTCCTAAAGGAAGTCACAGGCTTGAGTTTACAAGAGTTGAGCAGGGCTGTTGAGGACAGGATATTTTGGAGATTGCTCATTCATAGGATTGTCATATGTTGGAGGTGACTTGACATCCCATAACAACAACAATCTGCCGCTGCTGGTGATATCATATCTATTATGTTAGTGTAGCTCCACATAAGGATACTGGCCAATGAGCAAACCTTTGCAGTTAAAGATTCCTAACTAATTGTTGTGTTTGTAGTGTGGCATTGGTACTTAAAATATTCATAGTGTTGCATTGTTCCTAGGATGCTAGGTTTCTTTTGAATGTTTTCATATTGAACACAAAGGACTCACTTCTGGGTAGATGTGCATGGAATTGTGCTGTTAATTTCTTAAAGAAGAAAAGTGCTTTCTCCCACTTATGTTTATCCTAAACATGCATTCATCTTCAAAGAGCTGCTCTTTGTCTGCTATATCTAAGTTTAGGTGGGTGATAACCAGTGGGAAAGGCTTTCTTTGCCTCCCTTCAGGTGGAATAGCTTCTCCAGAGTAGCTTGCCTGATGCTAAGTATCCTTTGAGTACTAGGTGGATTAGTCATTCTGGTATATTGCTTATAACTGTATTACTGATAACTATACTGTTTTTAATTATTATTTTATTGCCATTGGCTACTGCTTTCTGCTGCTTTCGATTTATAATGTTATTTCAAAATTGTGTGCTATGCTCAGATGCTTTTGCTGAAGGATGACATAAGCATTTTTTAAATACGGTACATCGAAAGCAAAAAGGCAGGGGAAAAGGAAGGGAGATTCAAATTTCCAGACCTTTCCCCCTCCCTTTTTGCCTTCGGAAGTCTGCAAGGGCTCTCTCTGATGTTGGGGGAAAGCCCTTGGAGACCTCTTGGGGGTCGGATCCGCCACGAAGGCAAAAAGGCAGGGGGAAAGGACAGGAGATTTGAATCTTCCATTCTTTTCCCATGCCTTTTTGATTTTGGAGGTCTGCAGGGGCTCCCTCCGATGTCAGGGGAAAGCCCTTGGAGACCTCCTGGGGGTCAGATCGTGGCGGCAGGGGACCCCCAGGAGGTCTCCGATGGCTTGGAGAAAGCCCTTGAAGACCTCCTGGGGTCCTCCGCAACCACGATCCGACCCCCAGAAGGTCTCTAAGGGCTTTCCCCTGACATCAGAGGGAGCCCTTGCAGAAGTGTATTCCCTTCATAAGACACACACACTTTTCACCATTTTTTTGGGGGGGTGCGTCTTATGGAGCAAAAAATACGGTATTTGAAAGATTTCAGTCAGCAGGAGAAAGATAGATTTTTGTGTTGTTTTATACTATACTCATTTTATGAACTTTGGAATATTTACAGTAACACATTTGCCATGGACCCCAAAATAATATAAGAATGAGATTATTCTTCTTGTAGTCCTTAAAACAATAGCACATTGTTGTGCTAATGGTCTCATTGTATGCTATTGAGGGGAGGGTCAAAGTTTAATAATAGAGCACTCTCAGGTTAAATTCCTGTTATTGCCATTTAAAAGGACCACAGAATCATAGAGTAACAGAATAGTACAGTTGGAAGACTACCCCTTAGGTTTTCAAGTTCAACAACCATTGGCAAAGCAGGAAATCCACAGCTAAAACATTCCTGACGGATGGCCATCTAACCTCTGCTTCAACATTTCCAATGACAGATAATCCACACTCTCCAAAGCAGTCCATTCCACTGTTGAACAAGTTTTACTGTTAAGTAGTTCTTCCTACAGTTTAACTGAAATCATTTTTCTTGCACTTTGAATCCATTACTTTGGGTTTTAAGCAATTTAGATTGCCTTGAATCTTGCTTTGGTGTTCGCTATTCCTTCAAGTTTAGCGTCATCTGCAGATATGATGAGCATCCTCATAGCCCAACTGTTGAATGATCCCTCTAGGATCTTTATTGATGTTAAACTGATGAGTTGGTAGTTGGCCAGGTCTCTCCCACTGCCACCCCCTTTGCAGATGGGGATGACAATTGTTTACCTCTACACTTAAGGGGTCTCATCTGTTCTCCAGTAATTCTCTAAGATTGCAGGCAGAGGGCCTGAAATTACATCTGCAGGTTCCTTTAATACACTTGAATGCAGTTCATCTGGACACAGAGACTTGAATTCATTTAAAGTAGCTAGATATTCCAATATATCACCTCTTTGCAGCAGCCCCCTCTCCTCTGGCTTTCCTATACCTGCTCTATTGTTGAGAACTATTTTCCTTCTGGGAGAAAACAGAGGCAAAGCAGGTGTTCAGCCCCTCTGCCTTCTCTCTGTTGCTCATAAGTATTTTTCCATCCCTTCCTCATGATGGACCTTCTCTTTCCTTGTTCTTCCTCTTGCTTCAAGCATAGCTTAAAAAAACCCTTTTTGTTGTTTTCAAACTCTCTTGAGCCTTTGTTTGTTTGTTTGTTTGTTTGTTTATACAGCCCATCTGGCCAAGGGCCACTCTGGGTGGTTTACAAAAGACACAGTAACAATATAATTAAAATACCAATTTGACAGGATATAAAATAAAAATAATAAAATATGGATAAACAATACAATCAAAAGCATTAAAATACATATACAAAAATAAACATTTAAAATGGCAGACTTGATCAAATTAGCTCTGCTGACTTCCTGATAATTTCTCTACAATTATTGGCTATTTGTACTCTTAGTGATTAGCTCCTTATTTCATTTCTTATACATACTCCTTTGAAATGTTAGCTACCCCAGTTTTTCAAAGATGTGTTCCACTTTTCTTTTTCATAGTTTTTATTTATACAAAAATAAACATTTAAAATGGCAGACTTGATCAAATTAGCTCTGCTGACTTCCTGATAATTTCTCTACAATTATTGGCTATTTGTACTCTTAGTGATTAGCTCCTTATTTCATTTCTTATACATACTCCTTTGAAATGTTAGCTACCCCAGTTTTTCAAAGATGTGTTCCACTTTTCTTTTTCATAGTTTTTATTTATTTATTTATTTTTATTTATTCCACTTTTCTTTTTCATAGATTTTTTTTGGCAATTATACCATTGGTATTTCACCCTTACGAAACTGCCATTCATTATGGACTCCCTTTTCCCTGGGTATTTCTGACCATAGGCTGTAATCCAGAATTTCCTTAAGATTACTGAGATTAATATTCCTGAAGTCAATAGTGCTCATTATACTATTCTCAGTTCTCCCCTTTTCCCAGTGTGACAGTTTCCAAGAAGGTAAAGTTATGTACACCAAGGTTGAAATTATGTCTACCTTATTGACCTGTTAGTTAGGGCTAGATTCAAGATACCTGGTCCTCTTGTTGCTTCTTCCACCTTCTGGAAGATGATGTTGTCACCAAGTCAAATGAAGAATTTGTTGGACCTTATAGTGGTGGCAGAGCTGGACTGTATCCGGGTAGCTAAAGTCTCCCATTATGATGATGAAGATTAAAGTTTGGTAATTTGATCTAGGAGAAAATTATCCATATGCTCAGTCTGGTTAATAGATCTGTAACAGAACCTGGTCACAACTACGCATATTACAGAGTGTAGAGTAAATTTGCAGCAACCTTGGTTGCTGCATGTGTTTCAAGCCCCAATGTGGTTTTAAAACTGCACTTTGCCGCCATTTTAAAACTGCACTAAGGTTTCTGCCACCAACCAGCCAGTGCCAGGATACTTCCCAGCTACTGACACCACTGGGGTATGTGGCAAATACAGAGCCGGTGGAGTTGCACTTAAGGCAAGAAAACCGTTGCTGCCCAGCCAGTCCCTAGGGGTCTTCCCAAACCACCCCAGCACTGGCTGGCTGGTGACATTGTTCTTTTGCAAAGGAGAGGCTCCTTTTC